ATATATGATAAATAAGGAAGCCATTCTTCCTTGAATTTGTAGGATGTATTTTTGACTTGCAAGTCTAGTGTACAGCCCTGCTTAGCTGTTCTTGTTGTTTTCTGAGATTACCTCAGATTAGCTAGGTTCTTCCACACAAAATAAAATCCTGTAGAAGACAATAAACTAATGCCTGTGTAATATAACAGGCACCCCTCAGCACTGCTTCCTGGAACTCCCCCTCTAGGAAATATATTTTAAGTGCTTTTTAATAGAAAAAGCAGGATAGAAATATGTTAAAGGAATGAATATACTAATATCGGTAAACTCCATTCTGGCCAGAATATCCAGAAGGATAATGTAGTCTTTGATAGGTGTGTGGCCTTTTTTTTTTTTTTTTTTTACTCTTACAGTTAACCCAGATTGTACTGCCAAAAAATCAGTGGCAAACCACCAAAACTCAGTCACTTGAGTTTTTTTTAAACAAAATAAACATGTTAAACCTACAATAGAGCCGTATTACTTAAAAAGTCTCCCACAAGTCAAAAATAAAAGCCCAAAGGTTATTAGCACCAACTCCTCTGATGATGTTACAATATCATCCCACATCATCAATGATCCTCAAAGGCCATTTTTTTTAAAGCGTGTCTTCCAGCTAAATAAATATTGCCTGTTTTTGGAGAGCCAGAAAGAGGTCTAGTGGAGCAACAGAGCCATACTGACTTTGGCTCTGTATAACACATTAATCCATAATTCACTGAACTACAGTTTATTGAATTAATCTAATTATGTATATTCATAATTAATCACTATTACTTATGTTCAGTCAGCCCAACATCAAACTATACCAATATATTGGAATATTATGTGTTCACGTAATACATCAAATAACAGATTTGCCAACTGTATTATAGCCTAGTTCATTGCACAATAATAGCTTGGGGTTTAATTAATTTGTTTATAAAATTGCACATAAATGTTAATCAAATTATTGAAAGATACTGAACAAACTTATTTACCTAAGTGAGAGGATTAGTTATGTACAAGCACAAATCTCTTCATCTAAAATTTGGTTATCCTTTTCTTCCTATGTGGTAGTGAGTTTTGGTTAAAATGAACTTTATTAAAATGAACTCATGACTCAGTTGTTGTCATTTATTTTTAATTCTACATTTACACTTGAATAAACTGTTACCTAGGTGGCATGGTAAGTTGCTAAAAGGAATTACCATTTACTGAATATGTTGCAGTAATTATACCATGAAGAATAAAGGTTTTTCCATGTGAGAGTGCTTGCCTTCTGCTGTGATCACAGCAACTTTCATGTTGGTTTATGCCCCCTGGGCAAAACCAGGGTTGCTATTAATATTGTGAAGGGTCTGTCTCTCTCTCTTTCTTGCAATCACATTGGACTGCCATAGACTTTTTTTTTTTTTTGCTAATTTTCTCCTTCCTCCACCTCCAATGGCAACTGAATGTGGGCAATGCTTTGTGAATTTCATAAATGGACTCTTATCTGCAATTGCCTTTGAGATAAATTTGTTATTATTCCTTAAGGTGGTCTAACACTCCTAATTTTACCTCTAATGGGTTATTTGCCCAGTTGTCACATGTGGCACATGTGACACTCTCCCCTTTTCAGAGTAAGTGAAACCAAGAGGTAAAGGGACATTTTGATAGTCTGTATCAATGATTTTCTGGGATAAGAGGAGGTAAAGCTAGCTGAACACTTCCTCTCACCGGAGTACAATAGCGCAAATTCTCAAAGTGCAGAAGCTTTAGAAGTTGTCCAATCTGATAACCTACAGAGGAGCATGCTCTTGCCATGCTGGTTGGGAATTATGGAAGTTGTAGTCAAACACATTTGGAAGGCACCAGATGGTGAGGGGAAGGCATCTTATAATGAAGTCGTCAGCAATAATGCAGTCTGATAATTGGCCCGGGAATTAAGTCCACGTTCAAGGAAATGTGAAAAGAAATTGATTAACTTGCCCCGTGATTTTCTGGTCAGGCTAAACCAAGTTGCTTTCAGTGGCAACCGAATCTTCAGCTCCCGCCAACAGCTCCAGGTATAAACAATATACTGCAGTCTTTACTTTGAACTCGGTGTTACTCACTTCCGAGAAAATACAGTATATGTAAAATCAGAGAGCACTAAGAGGAGCTTTCCTTTCCGCACCAAATTCCTAAGTCTCCGATAAATTAGGGGGATGCTAACGTGCAGATTATTAATTGCTTCAATTAATAGTTCAAGATCTATGTCAAAGAATGTGGGTACCTCGCAAGAAATCCAAAAACGTACGTGCTGTAAAGGCTATTATTTTTTAACGCATTTAGCGTAGCAGGCGTGATTATTTTAATCAACGTTAGAGGCCAGAGTTTCAGAAAACAGAAGCCCAAACAAATCGAACTAAGCCACAACTGCCGTACAACATGGCAGCGCCCTGAAGCTCTTGTATGACAATACACTTGTACGTTCCGCTCTGAAGAGCCCGGAAGTCTTGCTGGGCTAACGAAGAGTTCTTGCCTTTCGCAGCTGAAACAGGTAACGTACACGTGAGCGCCTTTTATTGATAAAGGCACCGTCAGAGGAGGATGGGTATTATTACTGGTTTGAGGATTGTAGGCAAGATATGCTGGATGTATGGTTTCTTTCTCTTTACGTATGGGTAGTCTCCCCTCCCCCGAGATTGTGATTACAGTATAGTATTGTTACAGTATTAGCGATTATTGGACCTCATTGCTTTCTGCTCGGAGCCTATTTCTAAGGGTGTTAATAATATA